AGAATTTGCAATTTTACGTATAAGCGGGTGGCATTAAAGTAGTTATTTTGTTTTTGAATGAATTAAATATGTGTATGTGAGTCTCTAATATAAACATTAATTTACTGTAAATCAAAAGGAATATAAGTTAAACGTACGATCTTTGTGCTGTATTGTAGAAGTTATTATAACACTATCTGTGCTAGCGACTTCGTTCGCGTGGAACACTTATTTTGGGCATCATATTTGTGTTTCAAACAACCTCCACTTTAATATATAATAAATTATCATTTGTCCGCGTCCTATCGCATCGTTCTTGTACGTTAATCTTAAAACATATAGTGGCCCAGACATTTTTTAGATCATTTAAAGAGAAATCATACTTTTATACATATTTTTTTGGCATCTTTAACTGTTTCCACAACGCACGCAACTCTCTCAAAGAAATTTTTCGCGTTTTCCACATTTCCCACCGTTTCTTAGCTCCTATTGATCGTTGCCTGAAAATATTTCTTTTTTTCAATTCCCAAACCCGTAGTTCAGCTTCAGCTTTATATACATTAGTATAGATATAGATAGGTGTATTGTTAATTAGAAGCCCTAAAGTTACAAATACAATAAAATTAAATTAAAAACGTTAGTTTTGCTAATTTATAACACCCGAGACTTTTCTTTATCGATAAAGAATTACCAATGCAAGCGTCAAAAATCAACTAACTGAGCTTTCAGCTCGCAAATCCTCTTTCCTGTCTACAACAATAGTCGATATGTAGTGTCTTTGAGCCATGAATGTCACTGCGTCATCGGATTTGTCTAACTGGATTTCGTAGAGGTATTGATACAACTTCAATTCCGTAAAGTATGTTTTATTCATGGCACGCTGGTTCACGGGCTCGTAATTATTAAGCTATACGGCGAGATTTCGTCTACGGGGAATTTCTCGATTGCTTTGTGCAAATCGATCGGGTCGGGGTTTTGCATTCCTCACTTGAGTGTCGCTAAGATTTATATGGAACGAATTCATAAAAGATTCATTCGATCTTGATACAGGTGTAGTTTACGTAAACAAATTTTTAAATAGAATGTTATTTATGAAACTTATTAATACGCATCGGTGGTTCAGTGGTAGAATGCTCGCCTGCCACGCGGGCGGCCCGGGTTCGATTCCCGGCCGATGCAATTTTTTTATTTTATTTTCTCACTGTTTATTCGTCGTTACGAAATAAAACTTTAATATCTCTTATAAAAAAAGAATTCTTTGCAATTAATACATTTTACTGAGGTTCCGCTAATATAACTCTGAGAATTAAACGATTGAACTAGTCTAATTTATTTGTTAAGACTGAGCATTCCGATCTAATCTCTCACAATTTTTTTACAAACTTCCATAATTCTACTAAGCCATGTTGTTATTATTGTACTGTTAACGTGTATTTTATTTATTAAAAGTGCTAAGATATAATTAACCTTAAGGATTTTAATTTTTTATTAAGACATTGTAAATTAGCTTAAGAAATACAATATTTAGCTTTTTGGAAATTACTAGTTTGCAAATATATATAATTAACAATTACACATTATATTTTATTAAAACAATATTTTTTTAGCTATTAAACATAATACGTATTAATTGTAGGACTTGAATTTGATTAATTTAACATCGATCGCCACGCTAGTTCGGTAAATATTCCTTAATTTAGTGCAATTTGTTATCTCCGCTGTATTAATGAAAACGCCACTTGGCTGTCAGCTTAATATAACCCCAAGTTCCTAATGCCTTTAGTCTTTCTATTAAACGGCCCGTCTTCGGATACCGTTGAATAAATTATAATAATTGTCTTATCTGACTTTAGTTTAATTTAGAGTTAAGCGCAACTAATCCTTTGTTTAAAACGCCGAGTGTTTTTAAGATAATGAAGCCTTTTGTTACTCTCGAGCGGTGAGATTACTAGTATTAATTACATGTTGTTTTGTAATTAATTCACACCGTAATCATAATTATTATGGATAATGGAATCTAGATAGATTACATATCTATATGTGCTAATATATTTGTAGTTCCGGGAAAATTAATTGTCTTATTATTGAATCTACATTAAATTAAAATAAACTGATTTCTATATATCTCAACAGAGAGTAAACCTCACTCAATGCTGGTATCTTCTACATTCACCAAATCAACCGAACCGGATTGTTCGTATAACTATTAACGCTTATTAGGTTATGGGAAAACGTCAACTAACTATTGTGACTTGATTTGTATAGTCGATAGATTGACGTTTGATAATTTGATATGAAAAGATGATAGACGGTTAATGACAACTTACTATTTTGAAATAACGTCGAGGTGGGAATTTCTGGTGGTGTGATAGTCTCGTGCCCACGAAGTACTCTAGTTCAAATCTGGAAGCGATTGACTCTTATTTAGTCAGAATTAGTCACAAACGTTATAAGTTACTGCCGCGGTATCGTACTTACTACGTGTCTAATAGTAATCCGTTCGGATTGCTTCAATCGTTGCGTATTTTGTTTTAATTTTGACCCTTGTTATTGTTTTTCAAACTGTATTGAATATAATGTATAACATAGTGCATAATACCATTCAATATCTACAGAATATTAACGTCACACCGTCAACGTTTATTTGAATTGCATTATTCGTCCTCAAGCAGGATCTGCGGGCTCATATGGTGAATTGCTCGAATCCGGTCCCGGATTAAACAACAATTTGCCACAGCTATTCGAGTATGTTCCAATGGAACTTGGAGAAATATTCCTGAGCATCGCTCTGATTTAACTCTCGCTCTAAACTGTTTCTGAACTCGTAAAACTGTCTTTGTACTCGATATTCTACCAAATAGCTTGGTAACGGTATACATACATTATGTTTGAGTTGTTGTTAAGATAAAGATATGTTTTGTTTGTATACCAAAGTTTGCATTTATATATAGTATTTAGCTATTGTTGCATTTAAATAGATTCGTATTAAAAAATAACATTAAATGTTAATAAATTCATACAATGTTAAACTCGCCTACGGGCTCGAAAATTTTATTTTAATATTAATAGTGTAGTAGCCAGACATTTAAAGAAAACTGCGCGATAAAAACCAAACTCCACCAACATAACCATATAAAAAGGTTTAAAATTTCGAATTGAAATTTATGCGCGTATCCGAATGGAATTTTTACTGTTAACGCAATATATTTTGGGCCGTTATTATGTCATCCAAATTTCGGCTCTGCGACCCTGCCCTAATGGATGTTATATACCTTCGATCGCTTTTAATTAATTTCTGTACCCTTTCATACTGCGGTTTCTTAGATATTACCCGGGATGTAATGGTATTACACGCATAATCTGCTTATGAAATGATGAGGCATATGGTATTAAAAATGACAGTCGTGGAGAATTTGGTTTATGTAACACATGTTTGTGCTGTAAATATTTGACATGATTGTAGTAATTTAAACATTATTTACGTTGAAAAGAAAAATATGACACGGGAGGAACTTGAACCGGCGTCTATATAATATGTTATATTTTTATAGAAGCTTTTGTAGTCGTCATTAAAATATACCAACTTAATAGAATAAATTTATTTTCGTGTGACGACCAGATTTTTAGGCACGTTTTCGTGTCCGTACGAATCATAATTTTTAGGTACAACTTATAACTACAAAATATATCGCGTTTAAACCGTTAAAATGTTTTATTTAAATGTTACTCGCGTAAACTACAAAGACAGTGTTAAATCTTGTTGATTTCTATTGATATTTGATTTACGACTCCACTTTTCCACAAGACCCGTGATTCCAGGTATCTAAGTGGGTGCAGATTTTCATATTTTGCGCTTCGCAGCGCCAATTCAATAGACGTTCCAAGTAGTATTGTTGATAAGAAGGCGGCATTCTTTGAATACTTCTATGTCATGGCCGGGTAACCGTAAAGCGTAATGCTGCAATATTCTGCAGCGCTTTACGGGTAGAGCGTTCACGGACGCTACGAGCCGGTTACGTATTATGTGCGATATTTACGTCCTCATATTTGTTAATTCTTAGCTTGATATTAAATTCCGCAAAAAAATTGTACGTATTCGTGGAGTGGAATGTCTCATACGGTGTAATTTGGAGAGGCGTATTTTAAATGTTATGCGTTTCCAGCTTTCAGCAATAACGTAGAATCATGGGGCTCACAGGCCTACCTGGGGCTGGAAAAGATTTGTTGGCGACTCTTGGTTTTCAACTTTCTGATATACAGGCTCAACTATTTACTCACTACGTTTTGTGGTCGTTTGATTATACTGCGAGTAAAACCACGCGCAAAAGCTAGGTCGATAGAAGGCAACATCGAGAGGCAATAGTGATCCAACCACACACGATCTATAAGCTAGCTCGTGAATAACAAATAAATTTCATAAATATTTTTGATGTATTCACGGTCAGGCCTTTCATACTTTGCCAGCGTGGCTTATCGGGATAATCTCGGGATTTCCCGCGGATTTTTTTAACGTTTGTCCGTCCGCTTATTGCGTTTTATCTGACGTACGTCACGCCAATGCAAATATATTTATTGTGACCTTTCCCGTCCTTTATGTTTTACGTCCCTTAAATAAACCCGATTTAAGGGACGTAACCGAACAGTCACTATACACTTTTTTATGTCTCAACTTTGCGAATGCGTTTAATTCAGTCAAATTTATATTTTTATCAAGGTAATAATTTACCTGTTCTAATGAAAGCCTGCGCTAAACTAAAAAAAAAGAAGTTCCTTTTCTTCACGGTTAAAACGATATATGTGCCTATACTTATGTGACTCTTCCAACCAAAACTGTATTTTTTGTTTCGGGAGTCGAACCACACAACTTCTTTTAATTCAACATTTTACGATTGTTTATATAATAATAACCCCTTTTTCTTATTCCAGGTATACCAAGGCATGAGAACTAGAGTGATGAAACAGTGTTAACGCGAGAGTGTTATTACGGCCGTATCTGCAGCTGATGCGATCGTCTCTATACAATGACGTTGATATGGCGCTGGCTGGCGCTGCTGGCTGCGCTGGGGACAAGTTGCGCACTTCCAGAGGCTCTGTACCACAACCATTTTGCGATTCACGTTCCCGCTGGTCCGGACCACGTAGATGACATAGCGAGGAGGCACGGCTACGTCAACCATGGACAGGTTAGTGATAAATTATCAAACTATTTTGGTGTATTATTACTAAATTATAAATTGACACCAATATGTACTATACTTTTGTGAGATATTAGGTCACAATATACTAGGTAAGCGACGGATCGGTGTCATTAAAAAAAATCGCTGGTTTTATAGCTGACGAATTATGCAATAAAAAAGAAACAAATTAATGACTTTAAAAACACACTATTCATAGGTATTATTTATAGCAAGTATTTTTTGAGATATTTCTTATAACCTAAACAAAAAAGTCAAGATAAAGGCAACCTTTCTTAGATTTGTACCTATAGGTACAGAATTTTTATATATCGTGTCAATTTTACGCTAATTTTAATGAGAAATATTAATTTATTTCACATTTATACTTCTATTCGTAAAAGACTCTTGATAACTAAAAAAAAAATATATTAATTGAATGTCAAAATAAAAACCCGTTGCTGATAACCTTTAAAGACTTTGTCATATAAATTCAAGAAACGACGTTGTATTAACATTCCAAGCTAGCCGAGAAAGCGAACTAAAATCCCTGTACATTGTTTATTCTAGAGCTACCTACCAGACACAATAATTTGTTTGATTTGAGAGAGAACTCAGAAAAAATAACAAACTGCTTAATAACAGTTAATATAGCTTATTTCTCAGCGTGTCTGTTGGAAGGCGGCCGTCCAATTAAGCCTTCTAGTTGATTAATGGCCATTACTCGCAAGGGTTTACTTTTCAACTACGCCTTTTCACTCTGAAATCTCGGCATGCATAAGTAATAACTTGAAAGAAATATAGAACGCGATCATTAATTTTAAATGATGTTTTGCGACGAATAGTTGTATTCGCAGGCTCAAAGGAGGCTGTGAACTTTTTGATGTTGCCTCTATTTTCAACCTGCATTGAACATGATTAGAGTCATAAAATAGTTGAAAGTACATATATTGTCCATTTACCCATAACCTCTCGCAATAAAATACACGACGCCTTTTCGGTGTTATTATGTAACTTTAATGTAAATATATTTCTATTTTTAAAGTAAGTGTTACTAGGAAACTTTCTGATCGATAAGTTTCTTCTCTCTATTGTCCGCTTTTGGCTTAAAATGATCGTTCATTTGCTCATTGCTTAAAGCTACTAAACCACTTTTTTTATTCATATTTATACACATGAAATAAATTAAAAACAATTTCTTAAATTTAAATTACAACCAATCCTTTTTAGGGTTTGGATTTCCCTTTCATAGGATATGCCATACGGTCATAACCGTCTTTTGTTTTTCAACCCTTTCGTTTTATGAATATGTTAAACAAGATCCTTTCTAATCGAGGGATTATTTCTCAGCACGTGATTACCTTAATGATTTTGACGAAGAGATAATTATTTTAATACGGTTGACCATTTTGTTGGCGTGTTTTAAAATCAGGTAACGTAAAATTATTAACCAAACTTCCATATTCTGTAGTATAAAGCCTATTGTTCGTATATAAAACTTGTTATGTCAGCAACTTCATACGTGTAGAATAGTTATTTTGGGCAGCAAATTTGTTTTTACGAACCTCCTGTTCAACTTTATAAATTTATGTTAGTTACCCAACTTAAAAAGAAATTTAAAAAAAAACTTTACGTTGTCGTGGCTATTTTTTTAGATCATTATCTGCTTGATGCATTCTTTTGTATATTTTTTTTTGGGAATTTTGGACCGTATACGCAGCGTGCGCAACGGAAACCTACCGAATAATTTTCCCGTTGTTTCCGCATTTCCCGCGGTTAGTTGCGGCACGATGTTTGTCGAAGGGTTCAGATTATCGCGTTCCAACAAACAAACTCTTCAGCTTTATATACTAGTATAGATATTGCAATGAAATATTGAACGTTATAACTGCAAAATCATTCCCCGATAAGGGTTTTATTTAGAAATTAGATTTTAATTAAACCTCGATGAATGTTGGAAGTGTTTATCAATAGTGGATTGGTCAATTCAGATAAAACGCGCTTTAGAATTGATTACGGCCATTCAGTGTTTAGCCTTTGATCGTTCAGGCCTATGCATGGTTACTCCTCACTTAACATATTAATGATGTTTAGTTACACGGGCTTCGGTAAATTCTGATTAATGTTTGAATTGAACGTACGACTGAATTACGAATACCTGGAAGTACGTTGAAGTGAATTAGATCGGGTTTAATAATACCAGGGTATTCATTTTATGATAGAGATGGAGAGATAATCTTGAAATTCGATAGAAGGTGCCCCCAGCCATATTACATCTAAATTAGAAGAGCTGTCGACCTATTTTGGCTTTGGATATCCGGAAATCCCAAGACTGAAACCGAAATGCGATTTAACTAGGCGGCTTTTACATATGTCAACAGATGTAAAAGCCGAAAAAGGTGGTTCGTAGTTTAGATTTTTACCACCCATTTAATTTCCAGACGAAGTCTAACATGTTTCAAAAAAAAATTAGATTGATGAGATAAATATTGGACCGGCAATGTTGTCGTGGCCCATGGGGCCACGACATACATTGCTACCATTACACCATCGAGCTCGTCAAAAACATGGAGTTTTGTTAAGGATATCTTAAACAGAAATAACATTTAATTTGATTTATTTTACGTAGGTATTAAATACATTAATCTTATCGAAAAAATATGCTACTTAAAACCACTTTCCATGCGGACAAAGTCGCAAACGAAACATAACGTTTGAATAAAGAGGGAGCGAATACTTGCAGTAGCTATAAAGTTTGCAGATAAGTACAACAACGGTCCCGAACGGCAAATATATTTGGGACACTTCTTAGAATCGCAGCCATGATCGCGCAAACTAAACTAAAAGGCGCTCGATTCGTCTGGGAATATACGGAAAGGATTCCATGAATCACATTTGAAACATTTCCTGTCGTATTATCTACAGCTTGCTCTTAGAAGTGAAATATTAAACCGTTTGAATGGGGTAATGATATTTTAGTTCAAAGAAACTCTTGTTTTTGAATTTTGCAACTGCCTAGAGACATGTCTGTTATTTATTACTGGCTTTAATTGGTTAATATGATATTTACATTATCATCAATAATAATTGATAAGTGTAAGTGCTGTATCTGTATTTTCATTATTTATTTATCTTAGCAGATAAGTGCTGCCTGCAGTCTACGCAGGAAATTCAAATAAAACACTTAACGAATAACAACGAGGAATAAGTAAACTTATTTACAATTTATTTTAACTACGGCCCGATGTTTCAGCAGTAACTAATATAACTAAATATATTCCGCACTTTAACTTAGCTGTTTTTACGTTTGTAATCGTGTTTTTTAATTATTGAACGACTGACAAAAACGTTGTTATATCTTCTGATGTAGTTTAATAGCTGTTCTATAAATGCAGATATCGTATATCCTAATTTTATATAGTGTAAAAGTTACTTAGAAAATTCTTAGATTACATTAGTAGAGGAGATAGATGCATCTGTCGAGCACATCTTGCTTTTGACCGTAAGAACTCTTTGAGAATCGTCGAAATGCTGAATAGTTCGTCTGTTAACTTTATCTGGGATCCATTTACTACGTCTAATCTCAAGCTCTAGAAATTTTAGCTACTTAACATGGAAATATACTTAAAGTATATATATGTAATGCAAGTGGCTCTCTCGATCAGACGTGATGTCGCTTAGTAAATTGTTTGTTATCGGTTAGGGTGGTAAAAAAGATGTTTTTAAATCAGAGTAACTTAGACTCGCCCTAATATCGTCAACGCAGAACTGTAGCCATTTATGAAAGTAGTAAATACTCTAGCTTCTCTGTTATTAACATAAATTACTCATGGAGTCATCTGGAAACCGCCATATGTCTATCTTTTGATCTTTTTTATCCTTTCATAAAAATGTAGTTACGTTCGACCTCTAGTGTATTCAATTTTAAAATCTAATTCTTAAGTCTGTTGTAAGTTTTCTGTATCACATCACGTCGGCTGAAAGCCTTACACAATTTTCATTTAGTTTATTATGAATTTATTTACGTTTGACAAATGTTAGGAATTCTGGTTCTAAACAAACATGTCAAAGGTGTATCACCAAATACACTTAAGTATCTCCAGAAATCCACCCGCAAGATTCAGGCACAGTATGCAGAATAAATAAGAAGAGGTTGTGGCTTCAGAATAGTAGGAGGTCTAAAAGATTTCATTAGTCCCCTACCTACGTTAAGTGTTTCTAAATGAGTTCCAGATTTGCATTACGTTTTGAGAAAAAATAATGTATGTCCTTCTCTGTATTGTTAAGGATAGTAGACGTACAACTAGTGATGTGTTTTACCGCACCACTCCAAATTGGAGTAGTCAAGACGGCCTCACTAGCGGAAGCGTCGGCAGTCTCTGGTTGGTTCAATATTCTGTGGATCCAAAAAGCTCTCCATCTCGGTGTTGAGCTGTGTTGATTTTAGCTGTATTAACTCCCACTCAAGCTGTTAGCATTTCGGTTGTTGATGTACAGGTGCGGCCTTGATTAACATCGCGCGTCTTATGCGCAAGCTGTTTACTTTAGCTTTAAGTGATTATGTAAAGCAGATTCTCGCATTATTATCGCTGTTTGGAGTTCATATCTAATTCGTATGAATATTGTCATGCTATATCTTTACTGTAAAGTACTTTATCAAGATAAGTCAAGTATATAACTGGACTTGTCTCGAGCTTCCGAATATCCAAAGCCAAAATAAGTCGATAGCGCACTTTGCTTAGATGGTATATGGCTGGGGTATTAATCTACCATTAAGTGCTTGTCTATTGTAAGGTAAAAGAAAACAACATAGTTATCTAGTCTAGTTAAACGTCTACTTTATTTATTTAGTTTTATTAGTAGCATACAATCAAATGTAACTTAAAATTCACATACAACTTTCATACAACTAAAAATACCCACTTTTTAGATACACTATATATCGTTATACATTTCTGTGTCTTTTCCTCTGACAAATTTTCTTGGAAAGACAATACTCCAACACGTCG